TCTTGCATTCAAGCTCTGAAGCGAGGAAAGGCAGCAGGACCTGATGAGCTCCCTCCCACTTTTTTTAAGACGGGAGGTGATAACCTCGTAAGCTGTGTTACTACCCTACCACGAAACATTTGGACGCAAGAATACATGCCTTCATCCTGGGGCGAGTCACTGATTGTTCCTATTTTCAAGAAAGTATCCCGCAACGATTGTGAAAACCGCCGCAAGATAAGTTTGATCCCGATCGTCACCAAAGTGCTTCCGTTATACTTCAACGTTTGACGCCTTCAAAAGAGACCAACATTCGTGAACAGCAAGCCGGATTCCGGCCTGGCAGTGGATATATTGATCAAACGTTTACATTATGTAAGATCATTGATCTGCGTCACACCCACCGTCGGCCAACAATCGCAGTGTTCCTTGACCTGAAAGGAGCCTTCGACTCCGTTGACCGCGAAGCTCTGATGAGCTGCCTTCTCCGAAAGGGAATGCCCCAGAAGTACGTTAACCTACTGAGGTCACTGTACTCACAGACCTCCGATCGTGTAAGGGTTTACAACAATCTAAGTAGGCCCTTCATTACCAACAGCAGCGTTCGTCAAGGATGCCGTCTTTCGCCGTTCCTGTTCAATTGAATGGGCAGCTGGCGAAAAGCTGTGCGATTCGGAGTACGCTGATGACATCGTCCGTCTGTTCGAATGTATCAAGGACGCGCAAAGCGCACTTGATAGATTAACAAGTGCAGTGGCCACATTCGGTAGGTGCTTTGCACCTTCAAAGTGCAAAGTGATGCTGCAGGACTGGATTTCGTGTAGTCCCGTTCTGAAACTAAGTGACCAGGATCTAGTTGTGGTGGATTACTACTCGTACGTAGGCAGTTGCGTGACCAATGACGGTAGCGCAGCAAAAGAGATAACCGCCCGCATTTCCAAGGCTCGAGCAGCGTACGCAGAACTGAAACACTTTTGGCGTAGACGCGATGTTTCACTGAAATTGAAAGGTCGTGTATATTGTGCCACCGTTCGTGCAGTTCTGCTTTATGGTTGTGAGACCTTGAGTTTGCGATTAGACAATATCCGTCGACTAGAAGTTTTTGATTATCGATGTTTACGCAGTTCAGCCCACGTTGGATGAAGCGAACGGGTTAGTAACGTGGAAGTAAGCCGTCGTGTGTTTGGGAGTCTATCAGGTATAAACCTGTAGCCACACCGAATTCAGA